AATAATTCGTTGATTACAACATAGTTTATAGGATACTTATTAATTTTAGTTTAGTTTAGTTTATACTAGTTATTAAAAATAACTTGTAAGCCCCCCCCTCCTTTCAAAGGCCGAAAAACATATGAGATTATGTTAGTTATAGAAAATTGAATGGGAGCCATAACCATAAAAAAACCTTATATTTATAGTATGTATAGAGTGTTAAGAAATGTTTTGTTGCGGCTATTCCAGGTGCATTCTACACCTTTGAATCGAGAATGAACCATTCTCATAAAAATTGGTAAAAAAGTGTCTTTATTGTTGAAAATGATTTTAATTACGTAAGTTTTACATTTCCAATGAAGTATGTGATCAGTCTTTTGATCAAATTTTTGTAAAAGGAAATCTGATCGACCTTCATTCGTTTTCGCTGTTGAATCCTATGTTTTGCGCAATGCCGACAAGGTTGTCACGTAATTTTTAGGGTTGGTTGGTGGAAATAAAATATAGTTGAGTCGTAACACAACAATTAACTTTGTTTTAATCAACCTTTATTGTGAATTCACCAATCACAATGTAACACGCACTGAATTAGCATAAATCACAATTCACTGCAACCACGTTATGTAAGACTTAGTTACAACAATACATTAAGTACGCGACTTATAAGGGTAGAGACCGATATAGATATGTTGACTATTCTAAGGATACAGAATAAGCGAAGTTTTACTGACGATACTGTGTCTGAGGAAAGCTAGGGGTGGTTGTGTCTAAGGACACGGGACTATCGGATTTGTTGATGACAATTTTGGTTAAGGAAGTGAGGGCAGTAGACACCGTCTCCGATTGGATAATAGGACGGTTGGTGGACCAGGAAGGGTTTTAGCCGCCCTCGCGAGAAAGTTGCCAACGGAACATACCAGATGTGGAGAAAACCAACTTTCTAAGCTAACACGTGGTAGACAATAAACGTAAAGGAAATCTAAGACAAGAAATACTCGCTTGGTCAGAAGGACCTTAACTATGAAAATTCCAAGAGCCCTGGTGGGTACTTAAGACTATTGAGGGTGCGCGCCAAGGATATGCAAACATCTGGATGCCATCCTGTCCGTGGTGTGTGGCCTGGTCTCTGATATGAATTGACGTTACAATAGGATGGTCGAGATAATGGTGACAACGAATTCAGGTTCAATAACGAATCCACGGTCCACGGGATGACGAGTACCAACGTAATACACGATTCGGATAACTCAATCAACAATTCGTCCAACGACTACCTAACTAACTAACTCACACTTAATCCAAATGAAACTGCCCTTATATATTCCCGTCCCCACTTCTCGGCTCAATCTTTGTTTTTGGAGAGCCATACAATCATTTGATACCTCTGTCAGATACACGTCCCTCCCATAACCGTGACTACGTCTAGTGACCCGCTATGTCACTTCGAGCCCGAACCCATTGTCATAAAGTCAGGTTGGAACATTAAAAATTATTTCTTATTTTTATTACTTAAGTGTAGCTATAGTAAAAGTCTGGACTATTGGGTTTTTTCCCAACATTCCGGATGGGAAATCCAGATGTTCTTTCATCTCCGACATATTTTATTCGTCAAATAACAGAGAAATAGTAACGATAAGTCAACGTTCTTTTCTTCTTTCTTCTAATATTTTAGAACATTCTTCTTCAAAAACCAAAGTTACTAACTCAATCCCGATGATCACTAATTTCACTTGTGGACATTTTTCAGATTAAAACTTATTAAAAATTATGTAAGCTCAATTATAGCACAAGAGAAACTGGTAAATTAGGAAATTAAATATTAAAGAATTTATTAGAGATGTCGCTTATATGAAAGTGTGTAAGTTTTATTCTGAGAATTATAAAACTTATATACGCTTAAAAATTTCTGTGGTATAAAACATTATCTTTTGTTTACTGAATATTATCATTATTAAATTATTGCTTCTTTATTTCATAATATATATTTTGATAGATTAACCTTTTATTTATTTAATTTTAGATAAAGCTATTTAAGCAGTGAATCCCTCTCAAAATATAGTTCAGGCATTAAATGTAAATCAATAAAAGCAATTATCATATTTATGAAAACAACAATAATGGCAATGAAAAAGTTGGCAGTATAAGCATTTTTGAGAGTTTCCATCAGGATGGTCGTTTTCCACAATTTCTATGTTTTATTTATTTAAATCATGCCTATTTTTAACTTTAGTTAAAAATAACCAATTAATGCTAAACATTACTTTGAGTCCCTATTACAACTAAAATATGTAGTTGAACTTGGAACAATATTTTTGTAAATATTTCGTTATCGATAACAATTAGATATAGAATATACAGAGTGTTCGGCTAAAGATGTAAAAAAAATTTAAGGAGTGAATCTTGAAGCGAAATTAAGATAAAAATCAAGAATAAAAAATTACGTTTTCGGCTTTATCTTTTAGTTATTGACAATTAAAAATTAACCGATATATCCCTGTGCGCGAGCAAACATTCTTACGCGAGGCTGCCTAAGCAACAGAGCGCACAGTGATCCTCAATCCGAACGACGTATGAGCGGCAGCTTAAATCGTACAAGCCGTAGAGAAAATAACCATGGTATTCGTAGAAGTAAACAACCCCGCGCGACGTTTTGCACAAGAACTGGTAGTTGATCATTAAACTTGCTTATTCGTGGAAATTTGACATTTTGTAGGAACTATTGAAAACCCGCTCTGATCGCCGGAGTGCGTGAGAATTGAAAAGATTTCCGAGACATTTAAACGCAGAAGTGTATTTCAGAAATAACGGCAAAGTCTTCTTCATGAAACTAACGAACCGAGAATAACGAATCTTCTTAATTTTCTTCCTAGAGATTTTAACGAACGAGAAATAATGAAATAATGAAATGAAAGATGAATAGAGTATCATTATCTCTATTGAAATATTTATAGCATGTTACACATGCACAGGACGAGAACCTTCTTGTCTCCCATATTGATTTTTCATAACTAGTCATGACTTAATTTTCAGACGGATTCTCCTAGGCTTCAATATATGAGTGTCGAAATCTGTTTATATAAACATATCCATATCACGCCGTAGCAGAGAGGAAATGAAAATATTCACGCCGGTAGTTCTAATTATTTCACAGTACAAGCGCTGCACCATGCAACCAAATGAGGGAATGAACGTTAACATATATAAGAACTTATAAAATTGTTCGGTTACAATTTAGAACATAGAAGCTATGTATTTAAGCTTAAAGTTAGGTATCTGCCCTGTTTGGTTGCTCAGTAGCTTAAGCAAGAACCTATTGAGTTCTACAAGAATCTATTTAATTGTACGGTTCTATAGATAAATTAATATTTACTTTTGTAGATATTAATTTATAATTAATTAATATCTATTTATAATTAATTAATTAATTTTCCGAGATAGACAAGTGTGAGAATGACAAAATCGCGCAATTATGAAACTAATTGTAAGTTGATTAAGAAAAAAATTAATTTTTTACTATATTTTTTGTAGGGAAGGAAAGATCAAATGTTATTCGCCATCTATGAACTGTTGCTAGAAGCAGAAAAGAAATGAGAGTGTCACGTTCGCAGTTTTAGTTGTTTCACATTACAAGTGCTGCACCATACACCCTAGAGGTAAAAGGAATACACGTTAGCATGTACAACAACCTATAAAATTCGGGATCTGCTTTATTGATTACACGTTAGCATATACAAAAACCTACGTATTTAAATTCGAAGTTAGAGATCTGCCATGTTTGGTTGCACACTAGCATAGACAAGAACCTAGAGTTCCATACTACAAGAATTTATTTAATTGTACGGTTCTGCAGAAAAATTCATATTTACTTCTCTATCAGAGATAGACGAGTATGAGAATAACAAAATCACACAATAATGAAACTAGTTATATGTTGTCTAAAAAAGCGAAATTAATTGTTTACTATACTTTTTTTACACATAAAAGAGAATATTACCTCTCAAATGATAATGGGTCAATGAAATGATGCCATAATTTCAATATATTTTTTATACACGATATTATTTTAGATTTAACATTACACTTACTTTCGTCACATTAATGTTTTCGTTGTAGTAAAACCTAAATATCAATTGTTAAATAGTAAATCGGTGATCAATGAATAATATTTCTGACGAAATTTATGGATCTCTGGTATCTGATTTACATGTTCATTTACAAAAACCATAAAAATAGAAAAATTAACTATAGGTAAGGTGTAAGAACATGAAGATGTAACGACTAATTTGTATAACCACGTAACGAGCCACGTTTTTTATCCATCGTACTTTCATTAATGATACAAATTTGTTAATTCTATGAATTTTGATCTTGTTAAAATTGGAAGAATTATATTAAGATGAACATTTCACATTGTATTGCAAAAGGTGACATTCCTCATTTCGTATCCAGCGAAAGAATGAAAAAAAACCAAGAGAAAAATTGTGAAAGATGAAACAAAAATACGAAATCTCTTAACGAAAATTTGAAAAGTAGTCAATTAGAACTCCCTACCAAAAAGTTATTTTTAAAAATATAGAAAATTATGCCAATATTTGGAAAATTTCATTTCAGAAGCAAATTGAAAACTTTTACGAGAATTTAATATATATATATATATATATATATATATATATATGTTTTACACAAAATGTACATATGTAAGTTTGCTCTACCAGTGCTGCGTGCCATGTGCATATTTCTCCTGCGCTATTCACCAGTATGAACTAGAATCGCAAGACTGCACATTTCTCCTTTCGTTGTATAGTTGTTTCTCTCATTAAGAGTACCGGAAACGAAATTAGCGAACAATGCAGACATTGATCACCAGAGGCCCTTATTCGCAATGTCTATCTTTCAACATTTTTAACACTGATCTGAAAATATTCCCATACATCTCTGCTAAAAACACAATCATATAAACAGGTCTTAACACCCATACAGCGAAAGCATAGAAAATATGAAAAATTGACATAGAAAATGAGAAGGTTCACAATCTGTGTATATGTGATATGCCCTAAATGTCTCAGACAGAGACAGAAACATTCTCCTCATTTCTGTCTGTTCCGCGAGAGCGAGAACCTTGTTGTCTTCCATGTTGATTTCTTGTGACCAAATTTTTAGACGATTTTTCCTAGCGACCCTCGAGTTGAGACCTGTTTATATCTGAGTTTATGTTATTATAGGATTATATACTGGTGATCGTAGCTACAACCACTCTCTACAGGCACTCTAAATATAAGCAATGGTAATAACGAAGCTAAACTTCAACCACGTATGTAAGTATACATGTACGTCACGATACTTGCATTAAGTTCGGTTAATAATAACAATTCATTAGATGTATGTGCTTAATAATATAATATATGTTTTATGAATGATTTTTATAAATTAAAATAACTTGCCAAATATAATGTAAAAATTTATTACTTCCTGTGGAATACTTTTTGTAAAAAACAGAATAACGGTATTATAAAACATATTTCAGATTTAATGAAAAAAGCACAAATTAGTTTTATAATTACATTTATGAATTTATTTTTTTTATTTACATTTGATTTTCATTATACAAACTACATAATTAGATACTACAGTTTAACTAATTAATGTTTAATAGTGTGTGATTAGGTTAAATTATATTTCATACCTTGGCCCGAATAAGAAATTTAACTATGCCTCCAAAAAAAGGTGGAAATACTACAAAAACAAATAAAATTAAAGCTGTAGATGGTAATAGCGGCAAAGAAGAAAAGAAAGGAGGAAATGCTGTGAAGGTATGCGTTTTATATTTGTGTCAAATTATAAAACCATTTTTGAATATACATATTAAAGATATATAAAATGCATTGTTTAATTTTACTTCTTTTTTAATTATTTGATTTTACAGGTTAGACACATACTCTGTGAAAAACAATCAAAAATTCTGGAAGCATTGGAAAAGTTGAAAGCAGGGGGAAAATTTAATGAAATTGCTGCTACATATAGTGAAGACAAAGCAAGATCTGGGGTAATGTAATTTGCTACCTTTATTGTATTAAATGATAAACTTTAATTCATTATATGTTCATGTAATGTATAATTATAATGTATTGCATCTTACATATAGGATACTTCATTTGTAGCTATTTTTGAGTAATTGCAATTTTAGAGGCAAGAAATTCCTTGCTTTCTTACTTTTTCTTGCATTTATTATGTTACTAGAATAAACAGGATGTCATAAAATATGTTTGATATACACTCAATTCTAGATATTAAAATATTGGAAAATGTTCATGTGCAAGGTGTTTGAAAATGATTTGTTATGAGTATCATCTGTATCTGAATCTGTAAAAATTAGCGAAAGAAGTAGCTGTAAAATTAACTTTGACCTTAAATCCCAAAGTTAACATTTTTTTCATTGCATTGTATTAAAAAAACAAAATTGGCCATTATATATTCTATTATAATAATTATATATAGGGTTTGTTATAATATTATACAATTTTATTGTATATTGTAATATTATATAATATACTCTATCTACAAAAAAACTTGGTTAAATGACTTATTTCTGAAAACACTTAATTTTTTATTCAAATCTTTTTAATATGAATGTCAATTTCATGGGTATATGAGGGAATTTATTTCACTTTCATACTTTCATATTTGACTATCAAATGCTGATGAATTTGTCGAATTATATACATGTGACAATAAATGCTATTTTTCCTGCATTTGATTGCAAAATGTAAAGATACCAAAAATGTCAGTTTAAAAACTGAGAGCATCTATAACATTTTTTTCCATGGAAATGATTGAATTAAGAATCATATTTTCTTTGAGACTTTTGATCCTTGCAATGAATATAATGCATTCTAGTCATTTGCTGGAAGATCATTTGTTGAGGTTGACTGATAGAGGAACGAGTGGATGAATTTGTAATAGAAAAATATATTGAGATAAGTATAGGTACAGTGTATGCTGATCCAGATCCTCACTCTTATAGTGTTGCAATACAATAGGAAGTATGATAGGGAGCACGTTCACATATTTATAGCAAAGGATATTATCAAAAATTTAACCTTGCTGTGTAGCTCTAGCTGAAAGCTACAAGAAACAGCAATAGAAATCTATTTATAGCTCGTTTGTTTCTAGACCTTGTAACCCAAAACAAAATTTATATTCAAGGGCACAATAATATGGACCTCTCTTTATTTTGAATTTTTTCACTAAACTTTATTCTCTTCGTACAGCAGTCTCCAGATCACAGATGTACAAAAGGAAAAGTGTACAATTTTTCTTGAAGTAATTACTTTAACATTATTAAACATTATTTATGACAAAAATTATAAACTTTAGAGGTATTATAGTAATGTACTTGTGGAAAAGAGACCTCCGATTTTGATGGGATTCATTTTAATCACTTCACTTATATGTAGTAACAATGGAAAAAATAAAAAAAAAATCAGTGATAAAATAAAAAAATGCCTAAAAAAGAGAAGAAATGAAAGACAGCCTTGATATAAAATGAAAACCACTCATATTCTTACTTTTACCATGCATTGCTATTAGAAGAGAAGACTATATAAATCACATTGGAAATCCAAATAAAATAGAAGATTCTTTTATTGATTTCTTAGTACTAATGGTTGCTCTATACCATTACACATATTGCCCTTTAATACAAGCCTTAAGTACAATGTGCTTTTAAAAACATTATTAAATTCTTAAGCTTTCTCTCCATTTTCCTCCTTTTGAATTTTTTTATTTTTTGTGTGATCATCCAGGTTGGATCACTCATTCTTTTATTTTTCCCATAACATGTATATATGTAAATAAAATAATTAAAATAAATCTCATCAATGATAAAGCCCCTGCTCTGCAAATTATCCATTATATTAATATTATGAGTATTATACTCGTACTTCTATCATTACCTATACTTTTTGATATACATCACAAACAAAAAAGTAGATTTAAAAAAAAAATTTGTCTGGCCCAGAGATATAGAATCACGCTGTGGTGGAACTATATTTAGGGACTGTTAGCAGTGTTGTTCAAAATATCGATGCATACATTACCACAAATTTTCTGTATAAATCGTTCTATCCTTGGCATTATACATTTTTTTTTAGAATTTTCTTCAAAATGAACTCCAGAAATAATGAATTTGGGAAAATCACTTCACAAGTCCACACATTCCAATTTATTTGTCTTTAAGCATACTGTTCAGAAAATTTCTTTAAAGAACTATTCTGTAATTATGTGCTTTTTCTGCTAAAAATATATATTTTAGACAATACACAATAGCAGCACATTCAATGTACTATATATTATCAATAAAAAACATTAGCAAATACAAACAATACAAAATGTAGTTTTCTGATTTCTAATCTTGTGTAAACTAGAAAATCATTTTATCATATGTGTGGATTTGTCTTGATATGTGCTTTTAAATTGTATAAAAATATGTGTACCTAAAATTTATATGCATGTAAAAAATTTGTGTTCTTTCAATGAAAGAAATGTTTTTCATATACTTAGCATTTATGAGAAAAATTCTACTAACAATTGTGTGAACATTCTTTATATATATTTATATTATTTCTGAAAATAAAAAAAGACATTTTCAATTTATAATTTTGAAAATAAATTTTTAAAAAAGGGTGACCTTGGGTGGATGCCTAGAGGATCAATGGTTGGGCCCTTTCAAGAAGCTGCATTTGCATTACCAATCTCTTCTATTAGTTCTCCAATCTACACAGATCCACCAGTCAAATCAAAATTTGGTTATCATATTATAATGGTAGAAGGTAAAAAATGAATAATTTATAAATATGCATAATACTATATATTTAATGTATAAATATACATTCAACTTAAGCAATTACAAATAATTTGTATTCTCATAAAAAAGTTCATGAGTGCGTGTTTGTGAAATAAATGTTTAATGTTTGTGCAATATACTATATATTATTCTTTCTAACTTATAATAATATATAGGCTACAGATTTTTATGCAAATTACCTGGAAATAATTTTTGAGAATATTATGAAGAAAATAAAACCGTGGTTGACAATTCTTTTATGTACCAAATAATATGAAAAGCACTGTGCTTTGAATATTTTATATATTCTGTCATATTGTGTGCATTCTGTACAAATTTGGAGTTTCAAATTTCCCGTCAATACATAAAAATCCGCAGTTTAGTAGTGTCATACTACAACAATAAAATACATAACACTTTATATATGGAACAAAAAAGGCAACTGTATTTCTTTATTTTAATAAATAGGTAATATGTATATGTATATAAATTTTATATTTATAAATATATTTAATAGTTTTAAAAAATAGTGCAACAAACAAGACATATGGCATATTGAAATGCCATACATTTTTTACATTATTCTGTATATTAAGCAAAATGTTATTCATATAGGATATTAATTTTAAATTTAACATTTAAATTATTTCCATTATTAATAAAAATGAGAAAAAATAACTAATTGTAGGGATTTAAATGGTTTCAAGGTATGCATCCAGTGCTGCTAGAAAAACGACTTGTAGAAATCATCTTGATAGCTTTTTCCAGATAGATACTTTCTAAAGTAGATCTACATACTTTTTTATACACCAATGCTTTGTCAATGTGCTTTTTTATTTTTTACAAAAAAGTATTAAGATAATTATGTCTGAAACTGATTAATTTCGAAGATATTTTAACTTCAATTTTGTTGAGTTTACATATAATAGATAAGGAAGATATGAACACAGGAATAATGTTTTGTATCCTTTATCTTCCATATTATAAGCTTAACAGAATTAAAGTTAAAATATCCTTTAAACTAATAACTTTTAGATACAATTATCTCAGTATTTTTTTGTATAGAATAAAAAAGCACATGGATCAATGCACAACAGAACATGTTGTCTTACTTAAAAAAATATCAATGACTTTAGAAAAACTGCCAAGATGATTTCATAAGACTTTTTTATCACCACTAAATGTGTGCCTTGAAACCATTTAAATTCTGTTTAGTTATTTTTTTATCATTATTAATAACAGAAATAGTTTAAATAATTAATTTAAAATTAACATCCTGTATATTGTACTTCTTATTTTAAATTATATTATAATATATACTTTCCTTGAGATATATGAGAAACAGATATAAAAGGTAGAGACTCATATAAAAAGTATTGAATAATTATAATTATATAATTTATTATAAAACTATAAATTATACCTTACATATTTTAAGTACGAATATTAGGATTGGTGAAGTGAACGTATCTCAGTAAAGAATCATTATCTTCACACACCCATGGTTTCTTATGATGACAAGCAACATCGTGCCAATTTACTCCATCATTATAAAACTGATTTAATACTGCTAAACAATTTTCTGGTGCACCTCCTTGTTGTATAGCTTCACGATTATCAGGTTGTGGTTTTCCAATACTAAAATAAATCATACTATTTATTAATTACTAATTTGATATATTATGATGATTTATTTAAATTGTTCTTTTACAAGACCAATAAATTTATTTTTCACTATATTCGATATAGAAAATACAAAATAATTCGTAATATGGTTCAAAGCAAGTGTATTTCTCTAAGAAAAATGAATTAAAATAAAATGCATTAAAGGTTTTCTATATAAAATTTCCTTGAAGAAGACCACATTATAAATTCCAGCTTTTCTTTCAAAATCCGTCTTGCTTTTACATCAATGAGACAAGAATGATGCAGTGATGAAATTTTTCTGATTAGAATAAAACACGATATTATTATAAAACTATTCTATTTATTTTGCTTAAATATTTTAAAGTTCTATTTTGCTTTCTTTTTTGCTGTCTCCCTTTATATTAGTCACTGTCGTACCGGTAAGATATAAAACGGGTTCAACTTTGGTTTAAAGGGCATGGAAATTATTGATTTTTTCTTATCATTTAATAGCTTTCGACGCATAGAATCAAAAAATGCAAGCCTTAACTTTTGAAATTTATCGGTTCAAGAATTATGCATATGTAAAACATCATTTTTTGCTTTCATATGTAGTATAACACCATATTGCTTCTACCTATCATCTGATTGGTCTTCTGTACTCCATGGTTGATCATACTCCGCACTCCGCACAGATGAGCATTAAACTGAACTTTGTTAAATTTAGTTATATTAGCTTAACCTAGCCTCACGTTGGTCGAATAACCTAAAGAATATCCTAAACATAATGGTAACGTAAGGGTAACCAATACTCACGATTTAAAATCCCTTCGCAAAATGGTCGCCATTTATGTGCATTTGCGTACAGCTATTGATTCTATTGGACGAATCATGGATAGAAATCAACGCGGCGTCAAAGTAACGTGTAAAATACGTCAAAAACATTCAACTTTACCTACCTTTTGAACTACTAGATTCCTAAAGTTAAGACTTACATTTATGGATTCTACGCGTCAAAAACTATTAAATGGCAGAGAAAAATCAATAATTTTCATATCCCTTAAACCGAAGCATAAATAATGCATATCTTAAATAATACATACATATGAAGATTACGTATTTTTATTTTTAATATCTTTTGAAGTGAATATCCTTAATCTTTTGATGTTCCTGATTTTTACCTATTACTAACCACTAAGCGGTATTATTAATATAACCATTAATATTTGATGAACTTTTAAAAAAAATAAATAATTATATTTACCCTCCACTTTCGGACCAATCATTATTAGCGCGATCATTAGCAGGCGCAAGCTTTTGTAATTCTGCAGTCCAGAACCAACCATTAATATGAAGAGGTTGAAGATCGGGTCTATCGCATCCTTTGAAATCACAAAGCCGACCAGATGTCCAAATATATTTCACATTGTCTAGAAATCATATTTTTTTTACTCATACTTTATTGCTTTTACCGAAAAATATATTAAATATTAAGTATTTCAGTACTTTGCACAATGCGACTTTTAATAAACTCATTTTCGGTAGAAGTCTCCAGGGAAACAAGGTCCATACATCGTTGCCTACAGAAATTTCTACCTGCTAACCAATCAAGTTCTTGTCCATTTGTTCTTGGATCAGCCCATGAATAGTAATAACCTTTGCCATTGAAACGTTCATGAATAACCCCTAAAACATATAATGTAATGGATTTCTTATATGCATTGATGTAAAATTACTAATATTACATTTTTGTGATCAAAATATTACAATCTAATTTAGAATATTACACGTCAGCTTTTATACAGTCAAAACAATTTGCAGTTTTTGGAAAATTCACGTAAATACATTTACTATTAAATATTTACTTTATAATATTTTATACTTTTTAAAATATTTATCATTTTAAGAAAAATGATTTTTGAATTCAGTTGATTGAAATATCGAACACGTATCTAAAATCAATTGTTAATTGGTATTTTACTTTAAAACTTGTACACATGCTTATATACCATAAATATAAAATAGTAATTAAACTACTTTCATACAAATTTTGTACATTGCTGAATACTTGTTGAAATACGTAAAAATCTAAGTATAGTAAGAATATATAGTTTTATTTCAAAAGAATAACATTAATATTGCAATTTTTGCAAATAAAAATTTGAAAATTGTTTCTTGGTTATATTACATAGTTTTCGTAATAAATATCGAAAATATTTTTGATTTTCAAGAAAGTAAAAAGATAATTGTGTTTGTACATACATCTAAATTAACATATCTACTGTACATACATATATGATTATCCCACGTAACTGGGACAGGCTATACCTACTTCAGTGACAGTAGAAGATATAAAACATTATTGAGTAAAATTAAATAGATCCAAATAATACATTATCTACTGGTGTGTATATTCATTCTGGAAGTGATGACATTTCAAAAATTTTTACACCATCCGTATTTTTGTAGATTTATTTATAAATTTCATATATTAATTAATGTGTTTTTAACTCTTTGCACAAATGTATTAAAATTGTTCTATAATATAATAATCTGAAAATGCTTAACTTTAAAAGATATTTGTAAATATTTTAACTTTATCAAATTGAACGAATGAAGGACAAGGAAAACATAAACATAAATATATCCATTGCATTGCAATTAAAGTTAACATATTTTTAAACTAATTAATTAGAAGTAAAGGTGATTTTTTTAACTAATTAATTAAAAATGGCGGTGATTTTTTAAATTAATTAATTAAAAATGAAGGTGATATTATTAAATAGTTAATTATTTAACTAATTTTAATAATTAATTAAAAATAGAGGCCACTTTCAAAGTGGGCACCTATTTCAGATCATACATCATCCGAAACCGCTTAATTTCCCTTAATGAAATTCTTTTCTATCTTTTACCGTTTCCAGGATATAGTTTGTCCCAGTTATGTGAGACACTTCGCGTACCTTTTATAATTGAAATAAAATGTATAATACCAAATGATTGACTTTTAATAATGTATGAAATATGTTTACCAAGCTAATCAAATACTTTGAAATTCATAAGTTCCATTCTTGTTCATTGTTTCCTTTGAAGAGAAAGTTACACCAGTGACACTCACGATTTTAAATATGTATTTCAGTCACGACTTAAATGTTGGATTGGTATGTTAATTATACAAGCTACTTTCTCAAATGACAGAAAGAAAGTTCGGTTGTACGTAGTATAATAAGAATGCATTCCAGAGATAATACAATAGACAGAAAAGTCTAAGACAATAAAAAATAAAATTAATTAGATAACATTCAATAGGAAATAAAGATATACAAATCATATGTATAATTCTGCAAATAAAAATTTATAATGCTATTAGAATTTCTTCTATGCTCATGGAAAAGTCATTTTAGTTTTTATATTTAAAAGATTTAAAAATACATGTATATTTTATAGATAAGCAATTTTTATGAACAAATTCTTATATTGCAAGACATGTTTTTATTTAGTATTAATTGGTATAATTTGTTTCTTAATATATATTTTCCAAATATATCGTAAAATGATATTTTGTATTTACAAATAAATAAATACGAATGTCTATATTGAAAAGTGTAAATTATAGTACTGGTTGATAAAGTCTTTGTAATTTGTGTAATTTCATTCTTCTTTTACTAAAAATCTTAAAGAATATATATAATATATATCTATATAAATATTTAGTGTTTTTAATTCGATTAGCACATGATTTGCTGTGTCAATATATTAAACAAAAGATATGATAATATGAAAAGATCAAAAGTGGAAAATGAGAAGTAATAAATTTCTAAAATTGCGTAAATTCGAAATCTTCAAATAGGAAAAAATATTTATCAAAAGAATTACATCTATAAAATTATAATTAATTTTATAAAACATAAAAACGAGATAAATAATTACAAATAAACATTCTTTTATTGTTAACTTTAAACATAAATTTTAATCAAAAGTAGACATGTATATATATATATATATATATATATATATATATATATATATATATATATATATATATATATATATATATATATATATATATATATATATATATATATATATATATATATATATATATATATATATATATATATATATATATATATATATATATATATATATATATATATATATATATATATATATATATATATATATATATATATATATATATATATATATATATATATATATATATATATATATATATATATATATATATATATATATATATATATATATATATATATATATATATATATATATATATATATATATATATATATATATATATATATATATATATATATATATATATATATATATATATATATATATATATATATATATATATATATATATATATATATATATATATATATATATATATATATATATATATATATATATATATATATATATATATATATATATATATATATATATATATATATATATATATATGTGTGTATATATATATATATATTCACATATACATATATATATTTTGCAATATAAAAAATTAATTGCTTCCTGTCATTTTATAGATGTATTAACTATCGAAAATTGGATTTTTATCATTCTATTATTAATACGATATCTATAATAATACGAATTCAGAAAAAACACAAAATGTAAGACTCAGTATTGTTAATATTGACAGGAAAAATAAATATAATAAAAGGCATTTATAAAAAATCAATCTATTACTTACTTTGTGAACAAAGCGCAGCGATTGGTGCTTCTAAAATTCTTCTAGTAGATTGAAACTGAGCCGTAGATAAAACAATCAATGTTCCAAGTATAACAAATCGCATCATTTTTATAGCTGAAATTTTAAGATATAAATATCAGTTTTATAAATAAGAACATAAGTATCAAAATCATATAATTTATTTTAACATCTTACTTTATATATTACATTCATTTGCATTTTTAATAAATTTCGTAAATACTTTTATGCTACGTATACATTATATATACGGTACATTAAATTAATTTGGATATCATATTAAAAGATCAAACTAATTTAAGAATTTTTCCCGATGATACCAAAATTATAAATAGTTTTCAATGATAGTTTTAACATTATAATATAATAATCATAATTTAATTACTACATCTTAATTTCGTATCTTCCAATAAATAAATTTATCGACATATGAACATTACAAAAATTTGTTGGAAAGAAAATATATTTTAATTTTTTAATTAACTATGAAAAATTTATAGAATTTTATAATGCATTCATGTTACGTTCATATAATGATATGAGATGCTTAGAACCACTATCATAGTATATATTATTTTAATGTAATTCTGTAATTTCCATTATGACATATTATTTTGATTGATTACTTTAATATAAACCTATGTATATAATTTCCTTTATTTGTTACTAACTATAAAAACATTAATAAAGACACAATCCGCTTTATAAAACATCAGTGATGTTACAAAATATATCCAATCTTTTTCAATAAAAATACTAATGATGTTAGACAAGGGTACAGATGAGGATAATATTGGTCTCTTTAAATCAGTATCATTAGATGCAAAAATATTCTTTAGAAATATTAGTATTAGCAAGAATATTTAATGTTTAGTTAAGTTTGATAAAATAAAATATTATGTTACTTTAAACAGGTCAGTTCTATCTAAATGTTAATTAATGTTAATTAAATAATAATTTAATGATAAATTTGATAAATTAATATTATCACATAATTCATATTCATAAACATTTTTATTTTACAGTATAAAACCAGCACAAATTTAATCAAACTTAATTAATTAATTAATTATTTTTATTATTAATGTGAATTGCTTTGTTAAAATCAGATTATTCTTATAGTCATACATATTTTCTACATATATACCTCGGTATCTCTGAATAAAAATAAAAATATGGAAATCATTATTAATGTACTGAATCATATAATCAAAAACACTGTCAATAATAAAGACTGCAAACTATTTATAAGTAAAAATTTATGTATTTTATGTAAAGTATTTAAATAAAAGTATTTACAATCAGTTAATCAGCTAAATATTTTTTGAAGATTTCTTTCCATGAAAAGTCAACGATGCTTACCTATAGACGTTCTCCGAAGAACTGCGATGCTTTCTTCAGAAGCACCCCTATATATATATATATACATATATATAATGGGGACATGGCGTCAATACTTTTGCGATTGCACAAGTATTTTTGGAGAAGTGCTAACACGATTTGGAACATATTATACTTTCTTCTGTATATAAAGTACATATTCCAAAACAATAGATTATATTATCTATTAATATTATAAATCTATTAATTGAAGTATTATATTGAAGTATTAATTCAAAATATGAAGTATTAATACAAAATATGAAGTACAAAATATAATATGTAACAATCTATCAATAAGATGATTCGATATTTTATTAACAAATAATACTATTTATTGTTTATTAATAATATTATTGTAAACTATTAATTAATTTGGAGCAATGAATAAATATTTTTGTCCCCCCTCCTAGCACATCATGCACACTCACACACATACTGTATAAGAATTACGAATATAAATATTAATAATGCAAAATATAATACGGATAAAATTATACATATCTTTCGTAATAACCAAATCAAACATGCTTTGACATAAGATTTATAATTAAAATCATGCTGATAAACACTTCATTTATTGTGTATCTTTTGGTATGCAAACAAAAACGAATTGTAAATATATATTATTTATTAGTTTTTAATCATGATGAATTAAATATGTGTGTATAATATTAAGTTACATAAGAATATTTTGAACATAAACATTTCCTAAATATTCTTCTTATATTCAATGTTTGACAATGAAACAATATAATTGTTATTAGGTAACATACTTGTAGAATTTTCCTTTGTAAATTAATGATATATTTTTTTCTTAATGATTCTTTCTTTCCCAATAAATAAATTTCGATAAAAAATTTATTATTGCAAATGTTGATAGATTAGTTAATAATTATGTATAATTAAGTTTCAAAATATTTGGTCGAATATCAATAAGGAAGACTTCCATTTCTTTTTAGTTACAATTTTCAAAATACCTTTATCTTCATAATAACGAACATTACAGGTACCGTTAGAAAATAATTTTAAGAGGTAATGTAGGTGACCTGAAAACCCAAAAAGCATGCTATACCGATTGACCGAATGCGACTTTGATTGTGAATATGAAGAATTATTTAAGAATAAAGTAAAATGTATTATTTAATGCATTATTTAAATATTTCTTTAAATTGTAGAAATAAAGTTGTTATTCATGAAATAATTTTGATTCAGTAAGTTTAACAGATCTATGCTATATATTATCTATTATATGTACTACCACATTTAAAGATAAAATCATTAAATGAGAAAATCATTGTGTTATATTATAAAGATATACACAAGTAAAAAAATATTAAATATAAACATAAAAATTTTTAATTTTAAATTGTCATGATGTAAACCAGAATGTTTACGAAACGTCGGGAAAAATCGCAACGTGTTAATAATACGATTGAAATTTGAGGAATTGCCATAAATATTAAAAATCATTTAAGTCGTCTTACAAAAATTATAATGAAAGATATATAAGTAATACATTATATATATAATATATATTATATATGCATATATATATATATATGTATTATATATGCATATATATATAATACATATATATATAATACTTACAATACATACATAACATATGCATGCATATATATACACAAATAGATAATGTTATTGATGAAAACTGTTTGAATTATTTATTCTTTCTAATAATTCGTTAAAAAGAACAAAAAACGTTTTGGAAAGTGAAGTAATATTACACTCAGCAACAAAATTAAAACGAATCAGTGAATCATAAATTTCCATCGATAAATTATAAATTTTTGAACTATTACAATTTTATTAAAAAAAATCGTACAATAACATGTCTGGGATCATTTTGGAGGGCGAAATCTCTACTTTCACCTTGCTAGGCTTACTCTTAGATGCTAGCAAGCGGAAAGGAAAAGTGAAGGTGGTTTTCTTCCTTAAAATTTTACAAAATTGAACATTTCTGCGGAATTTAGAAATTTTGTTGACAACTCAAATTATCATATGATAAATACGAAGATAAAAATGTTTTCTGTGCGAGGATCGCTTAAAAGTTGATATATAATTCCCCATTGTAATTCTATTGCTCTTTAGATGAAAAGTACGTTGTAGACATTAGAATGATTCAAGATACACCACGGTAAGATTGTACGGACGAACTGATTAGACTGCAATGTAAGTACATACTTTTAACCTATATATGTCTTAACTGAATGTTGTATAGTATAAGTGGTTCCGCCGACCAACACGACATCAACAAACGAAGCACGTTCTATGAGCGCGTTCAAATTTACAATGCGTGCAATATGCGACACTGTCGTATTTGTCGATCACATTGTTTGAATTTCGAACCTTTATCGCATCACACGCACAATATCTGGAATGTATACTTCCGTAGTAGGAGTCATATTTTATTAATTTCTTAAGTACAAAAAGGACGATAGCGGCTACAAAAACTATTTGCACATACTCTTATTTTTCAATGAAGCGTACTTATAAGGTACGTTTCATTTTTATAGTATACAATTTTTGTAGAGATTTGTAGATCTCTTTTTAAAGTCTTCCTTGTATATGAAAGAGAAACTACAAAGTAATACCAAATTTAATATACTTGAATCTAATTAATTAGTAAATGCTATAGACAAAGATATCTTGAAAACTAGCCAGTAGCTATTACTATTCAATATCTTGTTAACAACAGCATTGTTGTACCGACAGATATGAGTCTGATGGAACTAAAACTAGTTTATTTTGCTGTATCGCACACAGGACGTACGGGCTTAATGACTGTTTTATGACTGATTCTAAAAACATTGACCTGATCCCGGGTACTCAAGAACATCGCACTGCGTCCCAAACACAGTAAAAAACATTTTCTGACTGAAATCATACATTTATCCCTTATTTTTATTTTTCATTCAGGATTCACATATTTATGTATATACATAGGAATATACATTCATAGGAATATAAAGGGTAAGTCATCGATAAAACCGAATACCTGTTTGAAATCACATCAAATTTAATACAATACAATTATAAAAATTTTTATTTATGTTATTTCAGAACTACCTAACAAACCTATTTTAATGATTTAAAAATCCATTGTTCTATTTCTTATTTCAGTTTATCTTATGAACTTATTGTAACTTTTACTATTACATATCTATTTATATAAACTAATGTACTAAGTTCTAATTATGTTCAATTATTTGTTAAAAAATTTTTTTAATTATAGGATACTTTTATAAATTAACTTCATACTGCGTTTGTGCTTTATTGAGTGTTCGTTGGGATTGGTTACTCTTAACCATCCCTGATAAATATTAGGGAGGCCGATGGATTGACTTCATGATACGGTCAAACGTCATGTATTCTTAATCCATTAATTCTTCATTCAGCAATTTCTTTAATAGACTGTTCTGCAGCCCACACATGTGGCACTTTAAAAAACTCTATTTGTTAAAAGTCGGTTATTGCACAGTTTCATTTTATTGAAATATCATAAAATTGTCATTGTCTCGTAGCTGACAATAAAAGTGATGAAATTCGTAGAATTTTATTCTGTCGTATATCTGTTCTACTATATGATATTCTTTTCCGTGTATTTCTTAATAATTAAATTGTGAATGTTTATACATTAATGCAAAATTCGGAAGTGAAAAAATTGGCAGAATGTGTGTAATATTAAAATATGTATCAGACATACGAAATAAAGCACACGTGTTGTAATATTTAGTAGGTGAAATAAGTCTTGATAAACATGAAATATGAATTTGCATAAATATCCGCAGTCGATTAATAATATATGTATACTTCATAAAACTATATTCATTAAAAAAAAAAAGTGCCGACTTTGACAGAGACATGTAAAAAATCTGATTATCGCAAATAATATTCGTATAACATCGTATGACAAACATCGGTTCACAATGCGACAGTGTTCATCCATACAGTTAACCGAGGCCGATCAGTCGTTCGAAAGCGACACTGTTGAGTTGTAGCCCGACTATCGAATCGTCAGTTTTCAAGATGTTTCTGTCGAAGCTGGCGTTGTTTCTTTTCTTTAAAAAAGTTACCTGAAGCATATATTATCTAAAAACACGAGAGAGGAGACGTCATAGAATAGAACAGATATATAAAAAATGACAATTTTTTTATCTGTATCTATACTTGAATGACACAAAATTCTTTTAATCCAATCGAATTAAGTCTAAAAAAAAAAGTGATTTCGGGAACAAATTGTAGAAATGTTTTCGCACAATCTGATTCGGAACGGTACGAGCGACGTTAAAATAAATTGCCTCCACCTTGTCATAAACAAAATATCAAGTAAACGTACAACATACGACTTCTTTTTACATTTCGCTTTGTTTTACAACCTATTAATCATACATAAAACGTATCAATAGAAAGTCATTGCTAATAAGTCCGTTTTTTTTTAAATCGTTTACAACTTTAGTTAGAATTCTATAATTAGAATATCAAGACTCTGTGATAAGTCAGTACTAGTCATACCAGAATAATATGCCAGATTTCGAATTGATCCGTCTGTTAGCTTCCGCACAATCAATTTGTTAACTTACGAAACGGGAAATCTTAAATTTGTATAATTTGTATAATATAAATGTATGAGCTTATCTCAGTTTATCTTCCAAGCTTGTACGCTTTCTGAAAGATTTATATTTTGATGTCCAAATGAAAAGCTTATTTTTCATTCAGGCGCTTGACTAAAGTATAGACATAATCAGTTTTGGTTAGTTGTAAAATGCAATACCTTTCGCTTTCTCATTCTGCTGTAGTGGAATTTGTTTCTATCGATTTCTGAGATCATTTCATGTACATTAAAAAAAAAGTTTTCCTGAGATTAATTGCCTTCAAGATAAATTTTTCTCCGAGATAGTCACAGAAACAGTCAGTATCACTACAGTGAATTTTGTTTATAGTTGTGCATCTGTAGCAGCGCATACGTCAATTTAGTTGCCGGCCACCAGCTGCTTATCTTCTGTTTATAAACGAGAGTTGGGCGAGTTTAAATGCCCCATACATAATTGCATATACAAGGCAACAAAAAATATTTTATAACTCAATTAAAAATAAATATCATCACTGTATTGGTTTGTTTTTGAACTAGATTTTTCAGTCCGATCACCGCTTGTACAAAATAATAAGAAATTAATTATAGACATAATTAATGAGTGAACATGTAATCGATGTTATTTTTCGAAATAGAATACTTATTACATTTACATATACATTTTATGTAAGCGTTGCTGACTGCCCCGCGGTGGCTGGATTGAACATATTTATCCAAACCCAAACTTAATATGTACACTGATGACAATCATTTTTAATTGAGTTATACAGAGATTTTTACAGCTTCGTATATAGGCGTGCACAAACCTTCATCTCGAATATTAAACAGAAGAATATAAACAGAAGATTTCGATCGGGTTATTTTATCCGGTTGCTGGCAACTAATGTAGATACATATCCTACCACAGACGCCCAATTTTCTGTAGTAGCAGCAAGTTTTTTTGCAAATATCTTAAAAATTAAGACCAATCGCCAGTAACATATTTAGAAAAAAAGTTGTTCAGAATCATGCTTCCCACTACATATTAAAAATATAAGTAATGTATAATATATAAATATAATGTATAAAAATGCATCAGAATCGGAGAAGTTCAGTTCTATCTGTACATTTACCAAAGAATTAATTCTTATTAAAATAATGAAATAAGATAAAGGAAAGAAAATTTAATTATTTTCTATTTTTAATATTCAATAAAGTAAATTTACGTTATATGAGGAAGACGTGACGTCATTTTAAATTTACAGTATATATAGATATTTTTATGCAAAACTATATTGCAGTATTTCATAAAAAATAATTCACTCAAGGTCGTGAATTACGATCACAATGAGTAAATTCACTCAAAATATAAAAATCGCGATCGATGTGATAAATCATTGTTGGTGATTTCGCACATCCTTAATAGACATAGAATATATTATAGGTGCATAAAAAGAATAAAAAATATTTTTTACATGGAGAAAATAAGGTTAATATGTACCTATATGTATTTATATATATATGTATTGCCCACATAGTATGAAAAAAACGTTATATATTTTATTAATATATAAAAATACATAGTATAAGCTTAGAATATTGTTACAAATATGTATCATTCACAGCCCTCAGAAAGAAATCTATAAGATAAAATATTAGGATTGACTAGTGATCGAAATTTTATATATTGACGTGTGGTACGACCTTAAAATCCCTAGCAATGCTATAAACACGCTTATATATACAAATGTACTTTTTTTCAAGGAATGTAATGAAACAACTGTGTACTTCATTCATATATAATGTAATGAACAATCTATTACACACACCGATTAAATTATTTCATAAAAATTTGTTATGATTCTCCATAAATGTAATTAACTAACAAACTCTGTACGTGTATTACAAAATAACTTGTTTTTCTTGTGCAAAGAAACAATATGTCCACTATCCTTTTTGGCGTTCACAATTTTCTATTTATCACATATTACAATATAAATGTGAGATGATGTGATTGCATTAATTGTTTGTTTGACAATGTACTGTATTGCGGAACTTGTTCTTGAATTTTGTTTGTGAATCATGACAGAGTCGGAACTTTGCCGGCTCTGCGCCGAAACCAAAGAGAATTTTATTGGAATTTACGAAGCAGAAGGACAAAAATTAGCCATAGAAGCTAAAATTGCTAAATGTTTACAAATTCAGGTAAAAATAGCTCCCTTCTTTTAATAATTCTTTTTAATGCAATAAATTTAATAATTCTTTCTATTTTTTTGTTTATCCTAATGAAATATAATTTCTTTCGACTTTTAATCTGATATTACGTTTTAGTATTATTGGATTAATGTCTATATTTATGAATATATATGTATATTGTAGTAATATTTAAACTAAAATACTGCTTACAGGTATTAACTAATGATGGATTACCACTTACAGTTTGTATAGATTGTTGTATTTTATTGAATCAGTGTAGTGAATTTTTTGAGAAAACCAATCAAGCGCAAGTGTCTTTAAGACAATTACTTCTAGATCCTAAAGTTGAGCCACAATCATTAGAATCAAATATAAATTATATTGATAAAACTATTGCATTTCCAAAAGAAGAAATTGGCGAAGGAATTGTTGAATGTCATTTATCAAATTATATCCATGATACATCTAATGCTTCACATAATTACTTTATTGAAGAAAATAAAAATGATAGCCATCAAAAATATGAAAATGAAGAACCTCAAGATAATGTGAAACAAAAAAAATGTAAAATTCAATTTAAAAAAACGCCGCTTAAACAAACTCGAAAAAAATTAAAACGGAAAAGTCAAAAAATGGAGGACCCAGACGTATACATAAGTGCTGATTTAAAAAAAGAACATAAAAATATAGATATGAAAACAAATATTAAAATTCCAGATAATTATATGACAGGTAAATATAATCATTATAATAGCAAGTAATATACACGTATAAAAACTATCTATAAAGACTTTAAAATATCTTAAAAATTTATTACCTTATAGTAAGATGAATGAAAGTAGATATTAATGATTTTAATAAAAATATTAATATTAATACAAGTATAACCAAAGTTACAAGGATCTAAAACATATACTCAAAAACCATCGTCTGCTTACAAAAACTTATAGATATAAACATTATTTTTTTTAATTAAATAGATTGTGGTAGATAATGGTATAATGGTAATACATTTTTCTAGGATGTCTACTGGTGAAACAAAATGAATCCCCTTATTTATATTAAGCAGAATAAGGCGTTAATTTCTTGCCATTTATGGATAGTTTTTATTAAACTGAATAACATTTACTTGAAACATTTTCTTTCATACTGATAAATTCTAATAATTAAAAAGTTTTGACAAAACATGCTTATCTAAAGAGAAACTTTATGTGAAAAAAGGAAAACAAAACAAAACACATTTTACATTGAGAATCATTCTATTAAATATCCGAAATGATGCCTTTGGTCTTGTAAACAATTAGTAGGTTTTTCATAAATACTGGTTTAAACATTTAAGAACAGTTAATGAAGTAATTGATAGATATACTATATGTATTCCTACTTTTATATTTCCTTCGTTATTATTTTGTTTCCATTCATACATACTTCATATTTTCTTCATTGTTTATACAAAGCTTTGTGTTTTACATAATCCTATTAATTGAACAGAACTGTTTGTTTACTTGTCTGGAAGATTTAAAAAAGACTAACCTTATTCATTTTCAAAGAATGATGATGAAGGAGGATGATTGAATCATATTCAATTTTTCAAAGACTTCTCTCAGTTACAAAGCAAATAGAAGAACATGCTTGTAAATGGAATCAAAATAGTTAAAATAATTGCTTATAATTGTACTTAGAATCCAATTTTGTTTTTCACTATACGACTTTGTTTATAGAGAATGTAAAAGAATGCTTCAAATAAATACTATCCATTAGGATAATAATTATTCTGATAAATAAAAATTAATATCACATTTCATTTAAGATAAATACTTCTCATTTTAGGTGTGTTTCATTACAGAGTAGTTATATTTTATTAGAGGTCTTCTACCTCTTCTACCATACTAGTCACTCTAATAGTTACTCTGGAAAAGTTTATTTGCATATTGATGATTAACCCATGTAATCCACTGAAGTAAAAACAAGTAAAGTCAATATCTCTCTTTACAGTAGTCTCTAAGAAAACAGTTCATAATACTATACATGTTTGATCTATTCTGTGAAAACGACACCAAAGAAGTGTAATTTCTATTTGACACATATAATATCTCTAAATTATTTATTGTTTACCAAAAAGTTTTGAATATATACATATATACACAAGATGTTCACACCATTTTAACTCCCAGCATTTTTCTCATAGTTGGTTAAAAGAGAGACATTTACGATTAAAATGAAGAAAGATAAACTTTTACTATTTTACAATATGATAGCTGGAATATATTTTTAAATTGTTTATGGTCTCCACATAATAATAAAATGATTATTAATGTATGTATAATATTATTATGTTATATGAAGGTGATTATTGAAACAAACCAATAGTCTGCAACATAATTGAGTTCAAGTTTATTAAAATACGAAAGTTAATAAAATATTTTGTAGTGCTACATTTATTAGATAAAGTTATAAAATTCTATTTTAAGAATGAAATTCTTTGTATTAAAAAGCACTTTTAATTGCACATGTAGTCCAATCAATAATCAGATTATTTCATTGTTGTTTATATATTCGTGGAAATTAGACAAATACAACCTATATATACCTATATATATGATTGTTGATATATTGCAAATATTCATAGTTAAAACCCATATAAAAAAAAGTAATGTGTAACAATTGTGTTGAATTCATTTTCTGTTTATTATTAAAAGTATTATTTGTATTTGTCTTACTTATTAATTAAATCATTGTTGCACACAGTGTATCATTATGTAACTGAAGATAAAATGGATATATTGTGTATTTATTATAAATCAAATAAGAATAGAACAACTAATTCATCACTATATACAAAAAACATTCACATAGATTCTATCTTAATGATAAGCAATTTCAATCGAAAACCATACTAAGATGGAAGTATTTGTAGGAAGAAACCATACATTCGAAAAAGCAACATAGGTACTAAAATAAACACAATTTTTTTTTGCATTTTGAAGAAAATCCGTTTATTTTAATGCAGAAAGTAACTACGTTATGTAATATTTCAATAGATTCTGTATATAAAATTTTGGAATTACATAGATACATATGTTTTAAGTCTTTAATTGCGCAATTATTAAACGAAAGTGAACTATAACGTTGTAGAATGATGTGCAGGGTGTATAAATATTTTTGGTAAAGCTCACTTAGTGTCTTAGTAGTCTTTCACGCCCTCAGCTGCAAAAATCTAATAATATCAAATCGCTTCTTTGGCACCATTGAGCTCTTGTTGGAAGTCTTTATGCAGCAAGTAATTTTGTAATAATTTGAAATCATGAAGTTAGGTATTTCACTTTATTGAAAGCGAGGTATTTCATGTGTTAAAGAATATTTCCTGTTTTCTCATTAATACAATACTATTTACTTTCATCCTAATGTCATCTTACTGTCATCCTAAATTTTAACTGTTGTAACTCCATTTTTCAAAAAAATGTACTTAATCAGTTTATGTATATATGTCTCATTCGTATAAAGAATATAAATCTATGACTATATGATGAAAATTCTACTTAGAAAGCAACAAATATTCTTTTAAGTTTTTTTAATCCTAACTTCATAAAACAATTTAAACTTCATAAACTTCCAACTCAATTTTTTCGATTTACAAACTGCAGATAAAACAGTGAACCAAAGGGACGAAATGTAAACATTGTAAATACTGTCAATATAAGTGTAAGTACAACTTTAACATCATTTTTTAGGAGAACAGCTGAGTTGTAACCCATGGTTCTTTTAATAAGTTTAGTCCCCGTAATGAATAGAATACGATGCAAGTAAAAAAAATTGACCTTAAAATTCAAGGTCAAGACTAACATATTATTAGGCGTTCATCTTTACAACAATACTTTAAATGAAAATAACCTGAACTTTATATATACATTTTTAAGATTATTGGGAAACGTTATTCGTCACCACGGATATGTATTTTCATTAAGACCGAGCTCCAGCTCGTAATTTTGCAATTATTAAAGGGTGTTTGGGCAACATGCGATCTTTAGATTTCTTACGAAACCACCTTAAATCTATCGTTTATGTTATTTTGTTGATAGATGCAAATAACTTAAAGAGATGAATATCAGAAAAGCATTAGTACAAAGTACACAACGAAAATCATTTTGCGAATTTTATATATATAATCTGATTGGCCTGCATGTATTGTTTCTTGATATATAAAACAGTATAATTTTTAATAAATGTACTGTTAAAAAACGTTAGAAATATTAATTTAATTTTTATAATTTATTTTGAAATTAAATGAATATATAAAGACAATTTATTCTTATTATGAATATCTGTGCTCAGTCATAACTACACAAATAATCGCAAATATTATTTAATGTATTTAATATAATGATGAGAAAAATATTTTACATAGAAGTCATATATAGAGATTTTCAAGTAATTTCAAATAATATTCATTAAATAAGAATTTCTTGAAATAAGATTTTCAAATAATATTCTTAGAAAAGAATGATTTAAAAATGTTAAAAGTCCCTACTTTTTTGTCTTGTAGTGAACTTCTGTCTAACCGACTCCTATGTGTCAGACTTATGATTTATGATCAAATAAATAAATGGTCGGTTCATCCGAAAGTATACAGTCTGTTCTCTGTAATGGTTGGCACGATTTTTCAAGCATTTCCGCTAATGTGACGAAAAGAATAATAAAGTAATTAGTATTCATTTGGCAAAAAATTGCAATAATAATATCAAAGAAATGTTGTATTGAATAAAAAATCAAGATCATCATGACATTCTTAAATGACACCATATATTGCTTTTTATGCAGTGTCAAAATTGACACTTATACAAATTCAGCGATGCCATAAACAGTTGCTGTTTCCCAATAATTTCTTAATAAAAATCAACTTAAAATACATGGTGATCAGCAACTGGTGAGTAGTTCTAGTGGATACAGGGTAGTTCGCCCCAAAAAGATAAGTTGAGAATAGAGAAAATTTTTTTGAAAATTTATCAACATCAGCAGGTGGTTATTATACGTATGAAGATAAGTCAAAAACGTTTAAGGCCTTATTTTCAAGCAAATAAAGTTTGAATATGTTCAATTAAATACTGATTTGATACACGCGCATGATACATTTTCAAATTCATTTTTCTCGAAAACAACGCATGTTAGAAAGAGTCTTTTGTACATTTTTGGTTTATTTATAGTTTAATTCTTACTCTTGTTCAGTCTAATTTAGTTATACTTGTCAAATATTTATACTAAATCTTCTCGGAAACGGAGCGTTATATGAAAAAGTTCTATTCTATATTTTCATCTTATTTTTTCTTGTTAAATCAAACTGTTGTATAATAAATTATCTTATTACTCTGTATAATAAATTTCCTTATTAATGCGTAAATCAAATATAATCATATAAATATGAAAATATTCAGTAAGTTTTCTGAACATAAATGATAATACTTGTCATAAATTGAGTCTCGTACTCATGGTATATATTTGTATTGTTACAGTAAGTGCGTTTTGAACTTGTCAGTTTGATATAAACGAAATATAGATAAATATAATAATATAAAAAAATAAGGAAATATATATAAACGAATCTTAATATGTCTATCTACTACAGGAATGAAATATTTTTTTAATTCCATGAAGTTGATATGTTATATGGTGATTATAAAAGAAATCACGCAAGACGGTGAATTGGAAACATATAGAAACTGATATCCGGTTCGATGCAACAAAAAATTTATCACACTTCAAGCTGATTTTTTTAATTGGAGGAAGGCAACTGTGTATGATATTGTGTATTCGTTTCGATCTTACTTAGTCAAATTTGAATTTTTATTGAATAACCTTTTCTTGGTAACCTTTATTACCGTAATTTATTTCCAATTGAGTATTGAATAACTTTTGTTCAAATATTTTTTCATAATATTAGTAGTCACAACGAAACAATTATCAATTAACCAGCATTAATTAAAAAAAGTGTGCATATATATCTATAATGTTTACATCATTTACATATGTAGTGTGCCCGCTTTAACTGAACTTACTGGAATATTTCATTACGAATTAAGAATATAAAAGAATGGTAGCTAATTGTTTTCATCTCGATAAAGTTGTGGCCGATTGAATGGAACAGAATAATCAGGAATATACTGAAAACATATATGTCATACATTATTTATCACATTGCGTTTTACAACATTTTATAATAGCATTTCTATTATTTGTTATATAATACTTATATGTATATCTATATTATTTATTTCAATTTATCGTGTGTCTTCACATTATTGAACAAGGATTGCAAAAAGAGTTGAGAATTTATATGATAAATAGTATTTAAATAGACTAAAGAATCATCAATAAACATAGTTTTTAAGTTAAAATAATTTTATAAAACACTACTATAATAATGTAACTGACATTTCGGTTTTAACGTATCGCATGAAATATGAAAACAGAGGATTACCTAAAAATTTTTGCCACAGTTTTCTTTTACTAGTATCTATGCTTAATATCTTCTTACAGAATTGCAAATATTGCAAATGTCGCAGATATCCAGAATCTATCATACATGTCATCGGTCAAATAACATGTACAAGCGAATATAAGGTGACTAGTTATAAAACAGTAAAAAGAAAGTATAGAATAAAATTTTTCCGTCTGCGGTTAGTTTTCGAGAAAATCGAGTTTAAAAATTTGTCAGGTATGCTTGAATTTGATTAATTATCGACTGGTTACAAAAAAATAATTCTACATGCGAAAGTAAGTAAAAAATGCGCAATAAAATTTTTTCATTTAAGGCTTTATTTTCGAGAAAATAGAGTTTGGATATGTTTAGTTAAGAATATACGCGTATGATCAATTTTCAAATTTATTTTTCTGAAAAACAACGCATTTTGTGAATAAATTTTATTATGCATTTCCAACTTACTCTCACATGTTGAATAATTTCCTGTTGACTATTTACTCCTGTCCAGTCTGGAATTAACGGAATTAATCTTCAAATATTATTCAATTTTTAGACTCCTTTTTTTCGTAAACGTCATATGAAAAATTTTCGTTCTATATTTTTTCCTTATTTTTTCATAAGAGATCATTTCATGCTCGCTTGTACATATTATTCAGCTGGTCCCTGTACTTCCGTAACTTTCTTATATTTAATTAAAGAATTATTGAATTATAGGGTTCTATTAAAGCTTTATTTATTTAAAATGAAACATCGATAACTAACGCATGCAGATTTTGCTAAAACTGTGCATAATTGTCATTAGCTGAGCTTAAAAATTTTGCTGCATTTTTTAAAAGAGGACAAGAGACCTTTCTAAAGATCTATAAATCTGTGTGAAAATGTTTCGAAATAAATCAATTGTTTAAGAAAATTAAATTCCACCTCTCCTTTTTTTTGAGATATTTTAATCTTTTTCAGATGAGTAAGGGCTTTTATTTATCCTCAGTTCAGCGATGTCCAACAATATGTAATTATCGTAACTATTCCATCCATAATATCGTTACTCTTATTTTGTGCATTTCGCACACTGCCTGTCGTTTCAATTAATTTAGTTATTTCAAAAAGAAATATATATATATTAATATATATATAAAAATATATATATAAATAAATAAATATATATATATATTTATTTATTTATCATTAGTACTCCAGTGTTTATAAATATATTTATTTATTTATTTATATTATATATATATATAGTATAATTATATATAAAACGATAACAGTAAGTTTATTCAATGTAATTGTTACAATAGCGATGTTCTGAGAAAACATGCTTGAAATATAAATACTCTTTATATGCCAAGCATATCGAAGTAAAAATCCTCCTCATACATTTCACCAATGAGTTTTATCATCCTGCATTGTAAAACAACAATCTATCAGATTTTGGGAATGAAAGGTTCCTTTCTTTAGATATCCACTTTTATGCCACGAATGTTTAAATGAATTCCAAAATCTAGAAGAGAAAAGCTGATTACATATAAGAGATTATAGTTTTATAATATTATAATTCAGTAAAATGACTTGAACGGACAAAGTTCTCACACAATATTTCCATATGGAATATTTCCAAAGCTGAGAACATGTAAGGCCAGAGTCTGGAGGCGGTACTTCTTCTATCATTGTTTCTTTAATATCATGAGAAAAAATATCTCTTTTTCTTGTAGGAAAAGGTGTAAGAATCTTGGACAGCATTCATTTCATGAATCTAGTAGCAATGTTCAAGATCTTATATTTGTCAAGAATACTTCTATAAATGAAGTTTTAGAGCAGTTGATCATTAATTTGCCAGATTTCGAAGCAAAAAATGTCGCTAATGTACATTAGAATTTGAATAAATCTTTCTTTACTTTAGGTTCGAATTGCCTATATTACTTGATTTTTCTAAAATAAAATAAAGAGATGAAAACAGTCTTTTTTCTACCCTATTGAAATATTAGTACAGTAAATCTCCATTTATATAATCTTCATTTATTGGAACGAAATTTTAGTTAATGCCTAATTATTTGCCTAATAATGCCTAATTAACTCTTGTTAGTTGAATTCACTTATCTGAACACAGGCTTCTGTCATATCAACAAAAAACAATAAATGAGGAAAATTGGTCAGCTCCTATTATATGAAGTACAGTTATATGCTTCAGACAAATAGAGTTGAGTATTATAGAATAGAGAGTATTATAATATATAACTGCCTTCGATTTTATACTTATATCATTTCCAATTGCTATTTCTGTATTTCTAGCATCTTCTCACTCACAGTGTCAATACTGGACCTATAAGTGGTAAATATAGTATAAAATAATAATAAATAACAGTAAATACTCTATCTATCATATAATTGTGATGAACTGATGTGTTTTATTTTATAAAAAAATATTGTGTACAATGTATAGATGAAACTAATGTTATTACAATTTTTATAAACCTTGTAATTAATGGCAGAAATAACAACCAACCCATGAAATACACAAAACTAAAACGACAATATTAGACACAATATTTACAATAATTACATCTATCAATAAAAGTCCTTTTCATTTGAACGGAATTAAATGCCGTTTTTCACACAGATTTGTAAGTCTTTAGAAACGATATAATTTTTTGATACCTTATGTATTATATGAGCAGTTAAATAGAAGGCGTGATTTGGATGAAAAGGCTAATTTCCTGTATATAGTAAAAACATTACACCAAGAAAATACAGCAAAATTCTTAAATTGGTCTAATGAATAATTGAAGATATGGTGTCAGTCTCTGATGTTTTTTTGTTACTTTAATATGTACTAATATTTAAGTCCCGAATTTTTTATATATTATTTTTACTAAATAGTAATTAGTATCATGTATATTTTAATATATGCTTAAATGAAGTTCTAATTGTGTATGTCTATACTGAAAAGTTATGTTAATTATATCAGACAGTATATTGGAAAAATTATATTTATACTGTAATTTTTAAATATAGGTACTGATACAGACTTAGAAATTATAGAAGCACATACAGTAGAAATATTAAAACGCAAAAGAGAAGAAAGTTTAAATAGGTATCCATGGCTTTGCACTGATTGTAATGATAAATTGCCTAGTTTAGAAAAGTTAGAAGAACATCATGAAACTATTCACAATCAACAAGCAAAATATATGTGTGTTTTATGTTGTAAAGTTTATGATAAATATTATGGTTTTCTTACTCATGTCAAACGACACAAAAACAAGACAAAATTCAGGTAAAATTCAGGTTTATTAAGTTATGTATAAACTGTTTAATATACATAATCTTCTAATGAAACTATTTAATATATGTTATAAAGTTGTGAAGATTGTGGAAAATCATTTGTACATAAAAAGGTGTTAGATTCTCATAAAGCAATTCATAGTAAGGAACGATCTCATGTATGCCAAACCTGTGGGAAAGCATTTAAACAACAAAGTGCATTATATATTCATAGTCGGTGTCATTTACCAGATACTATGAAAAATAGATTTCCATGTGATCAGTGTGACAAAAGGTATAACTTTATATATATACATATGTATATATATATTAATTTTGTTTTTGTTTATTGATATAAATTTATTTATTTGTATATCACTTTATAATGTATATTCTTTGTATGTGTATGCGCGCACGCACACGTTTATAGTTTATATTGTGAATATTTATAAGTACTGATTAAAATATGTCATTTGATAATTTCATATTTTATTTTGTTAAAAATATCTCCTATGTACTATACTAAAATATTACACAGATTATGATTGACTCAATCAACATCTCTAAATTAATGAAGATTTGCTAAAGAAGTACATTGTAAAATTGACTTTAATTTTAGAATTCAAGTCTAAATTTTAAGAAGAAATATCAAAAAAGCCATGTGTCATAATCTGATATTATCTTAAATATTATTTTAGCATTACACAAGTTTTTCTTATGTGACTATTTTAGAAATTCAATATTATATTTACAATATATTTAATTTCTTCAGCTTTTATATCTCTTTCAAATGTATAAAATAATTATTCTTAGGAATATTTCTTTATGAACTTGTCCATATACATGCTTTTATGTTGCAACCATTATGCTGTAAATATTCTTATAATCTGATTTTTATAACCATAATGAAATTTTTCACAAAGTTTTGATGTTGATTGAAACTTACATTTGAAAGGAGTTGCTTTATTCTATATTTTAATTCTTGAATGTACATAAACTTGTCTAAATTTTCATCTTCCGAATTGCTGTAATAAATGTAAGCTGACAAAATATAAATAATAATATTGTAAATATTGTCAGTCCAAGAGTTAATTAAGCTGTAAATACCAAATTATTTTTTATTGTAATACATATTATCCTTTTTGTGAGAATACAATAAAAAAAAGTTTGGCCTTAAACTTCAAGATTATAATTTTAGTACCTCATGAATTTTAGCATTATACTTGGGTGATATATAAGTAAAGTTTAAGTAGTATGCGAGTAATAAAAGAAGTTTTTCAGATTTTCAACAAAACCAAATTTAGTCACACATAAACGTATCCATTCTGGTGTTAGAAATTTTACATGTGATCAGTGTGGCAAGAGCTTTATTCAAAAAGGAAATCTAGAAGCTCATTTTTTAACTCACTCTGCAGATAAGCCATATAATTGCAGTCAATGCTCAAAAGCGTATGTTTATTAAAAAAATGTAATTTATAACTTACTTGTAACTATGTTTACATATTTAATGTTATTTGCAGTTTCAAAACACCACTACAGTTGAAAAAACATGAGACAGTTCATACAGGTGCTAAACCACATCAATGTGCTGTATGTGGAAGAACTTTTAGAGAAAAAGGTACCTTAAGGGAACATCACAGAATACATACTGGTGCAATGCCATTTACATGTGAATTTTGCGGTAAATGTTTTCGATTTAAAGGAATATTAACTGTAAGTTAATTAAATGACTAATACAGTATTATTTAAAAAGCAAAAAGTAATATCATTTTAAAATTTATTTTCAGACACACAGAAGACAACATACTGGCGAACGTCCATATAGTTGTTTAGAATGTCAACATCATTTTACAAATTGGCCAAATTATAATAAGCATATGAAACGTAGGCATGGAATTAATACATCTCATGCAAAGCATTTGTCACAATCTCAACAGATACAATCACAGCAGCAATTACCAGAGCAGCAATCAGAACAGTCACAAGCAGATCACTCAAATGTTTCAGAACATTCACTTTCTATATCTCCTACGGAATCATCAGCTGTACATGTAAGGAATTATTGTATTTGATCTAGTATTATAGTTCATAGTATAAAAATATATGTGACATTATGTAACATATGAAACTTATTTCAAAGATGAATTTAAAATGATATTACAAATTGATATAAATGTGCAACACATTTCATTACATTTTTAATGAAGTATCCTCAACAATTTATAAACATTAAGGATTATGAGAAAACAAAAACTAAGCCTTGATTTTTATTCCATTTTGTAGTCTGAAGTTTCGTTTTTATGATATAAGCATTATAAATTTTGAAATTCAATTCTTAACCCTTTGCACTCGGATGTCTTTTCAAAGGGGACATCGTAAGTCTCACATACCACTCGGATGTCTTATCTGAGAGGATATCAAAGCTTATTAGTGATTACGAAGGATGAACTCATTCCACCGCAACTTTCTGAGAAATGCATGTTTCCCTGAAGTTTTCTGTTGAAATGGCACAAGGAAGCAAATCAAAATATGGTATAATTGTCGAGATATATGAAGAAAATATCAGTAGGTTTTACGTCAGAAGAGAACGTGAGAAGTGCATTCACGACGGTTCGAGCGCGTCTCTACTCCACTTGAAAAGAGCGTTAAGGATGAGTTGTAGAAGAAAGGTTGGTATACAAGTATACCTGGCATTGTATAGTGAAATTTGAGAATATCAGTAAATAAGTCTAAAACTGGACAAAAAGATTTTCAAAGCTGAACTCAGTTCATATTGAAGCGTCGAGCGTTACGGATAGATCCCTGTATTAATAAGTCAGGAAATCGAAAAAGTAATATTCTTTTGGTAAATTTAATTTTGTGGTTCCTTAATTTACCTCAGAAGGAAGAAAAAATAAAAAATCAATGAGACATTACAAGTTTGTTAAAAGTCTTATAAATCAGTTGAGAGGTAATTTTCGGGAATTAAAAACATATCCACTCACATCTTTGTCGGATAATAGACTGAACAACAAATTACATATTCCCTATGTAGGAGAAAAAAAACTGGACTGTATTGTTTGTTCTGATAGGAAAACACCGGGTGGTAGACGTCAAACAACTTATTATTGTGAAACATGTATAAACCAATCTGCAGTGCATACTGCGAATTGCTTCAAAATTTATCATACTGTAGAAAATTATAAGAAATAAAATTTTCATTTTGTGGCAAAAAATATGATCCTCAACGTCTACAAATTCATGTAAATCAAATATCATTACAATACTTGGTTCCAAAGTTATACTATATAATATACTGATTCTTAGGTTCACGTTTTCGCAATAAAGTGGCGTCGAATTGCTGGTAGGTAACGTCCAAGATGGCTTCGAGTGCAAAGGGTTAAAGTATGAGTTTATTTAAATGATAACAATTTAAATCCGCTACTTATGCTAAATTTTAGACATATTCACTTACTGACAAATCATACAAGAATTAAAAATTGAATTGAAAAACTAAACAAATAAAAATTTAATTTAATTTCTATCTTTTGGATAGTTTCCAAAGATATTTTAGTGTTAAAGCTTTAGAAAATGTATTAAAGAGAAGCAACATGTTATCTTTTCACTATCATATTTGAACTCTATTTGAAAATAACACTTTATTCTGAACATCATTATAAAGATAAAGGGATATTATTCCTAAATACAGATTAATTCTTTTGCTAGTTAACTCGAAAGCGGATGCCGCTGCATCCCTGATATGAATAATCTCATATCAATTATGTGATTTGTCATTTGAAGTAGATATTGTTCCTACGTAGGACATAGATGGTATATAAATATATACACGCACATACATATATATGTAATATTTAGTATATAATATGTATATACATATTATATAATATGTAATATATATGTAACATATAGTATGTAATATGATATATATATATATATATATATATATATATATATGTAACCCATAGCATATAATATGTATATGTAACATATGCATATGTATTATATATTACATATATATTTGTAATAATATATGTAATATATATATAGGGTGGTTGGTAACTGGTGGTACAAGCGGAAAGGGAGTGATTCTACGCGAAAAAAGAAGTCGAAAATATAGAATAAAAATTTTTCGTTTGAGGCTTTGTTTTCGAGAAAATCGACTTTGAATTTTCGCTCGGTACGCGTGCACTTTATCACGTCTCGTTAGAACGGATCTCACTGTAGATCGTTGTCTCGATTGACGTTATGTTGATGAACACTTCCAATGTGACCGAAGTGTTTTCCTACCTATTAACTTACTATCCGGCTTTTATCGCTATCCACTATCAGCACCTATTAGTCTACCATCATGTCTACATACAGCAATCGGGAATATACGGACATGATACTTTCGTTAGGTGCGTGTGGTGGTATCAACCGCAGCTGATCATTACAGACACCGGTATCCCAATCGTTGACATCCTGACAGACGTGTTATTCAAAGAGCAGAACGAACCCTCGGCGAATATGGTTCTTTTGAAAAACTTAGACGACATGGTGGTCGTCGACGACGCGTTAGTGTAAATGTTGAAGAGCAAATACTAAAGGACGTTTTGGAACATCCTGACATAAGTGCAAGAAACCTTTCGGCAAATACTAAAGGATGTTTTGGGACATCCTGACATAAGTGCAAGAAACCTTTCTTTGCGGTATAATCTTAGTTGCTTCACGATTCTTCGAATTCTACACAAAAACAACTTACATGCTTATCATATCACCAGAGTACAAGGACTCATACCTCACGATAAGATTTCGCGAAAGGCATTTTGTCATTGGTTGCTTTAACAGCATGCCAACGATGCAGAATTTCTGTTAAAAATTTTATGGACCGATGAAGCGAAATTTACAAGGGACGGCATGTTTAATGTCCATAATATGCATAATTGACAAAATGAGAATCCTCACTCTATTCTTGAAACACATTTTCAAGTAAGATGGAACGTAAACGTCTGGGCTGGCATAATGGGACATCTAATTATTGGGCTATATTTTTTCGAAGGAAATGTAACGTCAGCAGCATATTTCGATTTCTTACAAAACACCGGAATTATTACCGGAATTATTAGAAGATGTACCGTTGAGAACTAGAGGAAGTTTAATTTCTCAACAAGACGGCGCACCGCTACATTTTAGTCGTCATGTGAGAGATTTTTTAAACCAACATTACCAAGGCTGGATTGGTAGTGCTGGAACAATAGCTTGGCCACCACGCTCTCCTAACTTAACTCCGCTTGACTTTTATTTATGAAGTCATATTAAATCAATTGTCTATCCTGAAGAAATCGCAAGTTGCGAGCAATTGAAAGAAAAGATTATTGTAGCCTTTCATACTTTAAAACAATCGAATACGTTAGAAAGTGTTCATACAAATTTAATTAGAAGAGCAGAAGTATGTGTTCGGCAGAATGGGCAATATTTTCAGCAATTTTTGTAATAATAAACTTTATGATTACTTCATATTATTTCATTATGTATTCCTAATTTTCCGTTACGGCAAAAACAAACTTAAACTGCGATAATATCCATCGAGACAACGATCTACAGTGAGATCCGTTATAACGAGACGTGATAAAGTGCACGCGTACCGAGCGAAAATTCAAAGTCGATTTTCTCGAAAACAAAGCCTCAAACGAAAAACTTTTATTCTATATTTTCGACTTCTTTTTTCGCGTAGGATCACCCCCTTTCCGCTTGTACCACCAGTTACCAACCACCCTGTATATAATATGTAATAATTCTCGATTAATAGATGTATTTTTATCTTAGTAGGCATAGGGTTATAGTTACCCTATGAATTCTTAGAACTGCTCCTTGGGAGAGAGCAAGCGTGTTATCTCTAACTGCTAGTCATTACTAGGTACTACTGAACCATCAGATTATAAAAAATAAAATTTTTATGCTTTTAAATTTAGAATTATGACGTCATATACATCAATGAAATTGTTTATGTTTTTTGATGAATGTGACACTAAACATGATTATATCTGAACGAATTTAAAGTACATTCCTTGACTATTTCATACTCGTTCAATGTTTCTCATTCTCATTTTCGAGGGGTGTGGAAACCGATCAAAATTTACATCGACTCGACAAAGGTCAGATGGAATTGGTTTGAAAGCCCCAAATAAAACTATTAAGAGAATATATATAAAAAATGGTGATGATAAGCCTTAGATGAATAAACACCAGATTCAAAATTTGAAAGAAGGATTATTTTTATATTGATAATATTTTTAAATTAATTGTAAAATTCTTTAATAACTTTACATAGACGACAAAGTTAAAATAAAAAAGAGAAAAATATAAACAACTAAAGATACACTGGTTGAACCTCTTCTGTTTTTTTAGTTTAACGTCTTCTGCACAACTCCATATGTGAGACTGAAAGAAAAGTTTCTTATACCTCAAATAAAAGTGAATATCATCACTATATTAGGTTTGGTTTTAGGGTAGGTTTTTCAATCCGCCCGCTGTGTGGCTACCGGGAACGCTTGCATAAAATGATAATAAACTAATTATAAAAGTAATAGGGCGTAAATAACTGATATTATTTTACGAACTAGAAAAATTGTTATTGTTTGCGCTAGCGTTACTGGGCGGCTCATGGCGGTCGGATTGAAAAAAGTAACCCAAGTCCAACACACAATAGATTGATGATATTCATTTTTAATTAAATAATAGCAGATATTTCTTACAGTCTCACATATGCAGTTGTGCACAGCACTTTATGGCTTAATCTTTGCTTATATAAACTATATAAAAAAAAGAGGGGCAGTCAGCAATCAATACTAACATGTACGCCGTTATGGACGTACAATTATAAGCACAATTTACTCTAGTGGTATTGATAATTTTTTGCGAATATTTCGAAACTATGATCAACCGACAGTTATATGTACAGGAAAAAATTGTCTAAAATTTTGAGCTTTTCAATATATTAAAACATTATGGAAACCGTAAAGGACGTAGCTGTTTCACAGATTCACCAAAAAATTCAATGTTTTATAGTGTTAAATTAGCATGCAAGAAGCATTCCTATCTATTTCTTCTTAATAGTTGGACTCTTATCGAGCCGATCCAAAGTTTGACTGTTCGTTCAAGCTTGTACCCGAGTCATGACTTGGGATCCCAAAACTTTTGGGAGTTGGAGCAACATGAATTTACATAGATCGGGGCTGATTCTGTTCGAATTTCTATCGGCCCGCCTCGAAGTTTCGGATCCCGATACTTGGGACGATCTGTACACCTCTAATATCAACTCTTTCATTGTGGATCTCGTACGGGCCGAAAATTAAAAATTGTTAAGATTTATAATTGCTACAATGATACATGTACCATACGAGACGTAAGTATTAATTAACTAAAAAATTATATCAAAAATTTACTAAAATGGTAAAACAATCCTTTTTTCAAATTTTACAACATAGTTAATATAACATATCGTCATTTTAATCCACATGAAAAGGCTAAAGCTCACTTTTGGATTGATTTGAAAAAAACTGTCCTTTAATTCTTTAAATCTCTTTATGTAAAACATTTTTTTTAAATAGAGCGATTTGAAAGGAGGTAACAAAAAATAAAGTTCACATCAATAACAGTCGCAATTTACAGGAAAAGTGACTTATCACTGATTTTAATGGGATTTTTTAATTACCTTGTAGATATATAAACAATGGGAAATATAAAAAGACTAGTGGTAATCTTGACAAAAATAGGAAACTTTTTTAAAAATGGAAGGAGGTAGGAAAACTTTAAGAAGTTAGTGGCTTATAGAAACCTATTGTATTTTTGATGTAAATTATGGTGAATGCAAATATGTCATTCTTATGGAAATATCGGTCTTGAAGAAGACGCCACAGATTGTGCAAGTCTCATCTCCAGCTGGATTAAAAGAGTAATATAGAAAGCGTTAGTTAGAAGTAAATAAATCCGCAACCGGCAACGTTATTGCAAGATATAGTATAGTTAAATTATATTAGTATAGTTATTATTTATTAACTAATATATTTTTATATATATTAACATATATTGTGAATCATGTTGCGTGTATGTGTGCCCCCGACAATAGTATTATATTAACTGATGTGTGTCACAAGGAGATTGTTGATCGGAACTTACACATTACGTGTGCATGTTGTTGCTAAAAGAGTAAAACCTATATAACTCAAGATAAAGATGGGAATAAGGTAATTTGTACCTTTCCATGTATTTCTTGATACCTGCGGTTCTTCATTATACGATGGAGTTGCTGATTGCAATTTTATCAAATCTAGATTAACATTTATACCCTTCTTTAAAATGGACTTGAGGCAGAGGTTGTAGAATTTGTACCTTTCTTTTTGAAATCAACATTTCAGTGAAACTATATACTCATGTCGACATTCAATTTGTAGTAAATTAAAGCCATTTTTGCTATCAAATTCAAATGGTTTAATGTCATCATCAAGGAAGAAAGAAAATAGTTTATTGCTAAAAGGAGGAAAAACAAGAGGGACAGAAATACATAGCAGGGTAACATCATGGATTATAGAATTGTAAAATCCTTAAATTATAATTTAATTTGTTAACACATTGGCGACGAATGATACATCATAGTATAAATGCATTATTCAAGTTCTATACTTGGGTATGGATGATGCGAAAACATGTCATCAAATATCTTCGTATATTTGTCTCAAAATAAATTTATAGGATATTATAAATGGTCCAATTTCCTTTAGAAGAGGCTATGTTAGATGTCTCACGAATTGAAAAAATTGTTTATGGATTTAACTTTCTGTTATATGTCGCGATGATTGATACTAAGACTCATGTATACAGTAGAGAGATAAAGTACGGATTCGACGGTTGGACTTCAGACCGTAATAACTATGTTTATAACAAGATAAAAGATATTTCTTTATGGTTGATGAAATGACTATGCATCGATAGGACGAGAGTAAAATTTGTTAGTCTTTCTTTGAACTCCGCAACTATTGCATGTTTCTCAACAGCCTGTGGTTTCCTGTGTTTGAATAGTAAAAATTTTATTTCTTATGTTTTATTAAAAATCCTTAAATGGAGGAAGAATTACTTTCGAAGGAAATGATATGAAGATTTTATCAGAATTCGCTGATGATGAATATAACAGTGAAGACTCTGATATTGGACCGGTACGACGAGAAGTGCATCTGTTACACGTGCTTTCATCGTTACTATCAAATAAAGAAGAAACAGAAATAGGAGAGAATAATTGATTGGATTGATCCGAACTTGATCCAGAAAAACATAACGAACAATTCGAAGGTGTCGCTGGAGTGAAAATCTTTCCAGATAATCCTCAAATTGTTACAGATGTCACGTCTTTATTCGTTGGACATAATTTATTTGAAAAAATTGTCCTCGAAATAAATCGTTATCATAATGTAAATAGCCACAGATATAAAAATTTTGCACATAGATCTAAATGAATCGATGGTCACAGTTCCGGAAATGAAGAAAGTATTTGCCCTCATAATAATTATCGAAATTAGGAAAAATAAGATTGGTCCACAAATTCACTTATAGAAATTCCAGTTTTTGGCAATATTATGAGTAGACGTCAGTTTTTGCAAATTTGTATTTTCCTCCGTTTCTTTAATAACACAGTTATCCGTCCAAATGACAACAGGCTAATAAAAGTACAGGAAACTATAGATTATTTTGTAATAAATTTAAAATCATATCTATCACTTAATGAAGGCATAATCCCATAGAAAGGAAGACTTCGACTCCGAGTTTACAATCCGAGCAAAAGTATAAAATATGGTATTTTCAATAGAATAATTGGCGAATCGAAGACACGATATATTTACATTCTTTCCTTTATTGTGAAAAGAGTATTATTTTGGAGAATACTGGTATAAATATGGTATAAATCAAATGGATCAATATCGGAAAGAATGGCATCATGTGTATGCAGAAATTTTTTACAACAGTGTAACTTTGACTTCTAAATTATTATCGAAAAAGGTTAGATTTTGGGGAACAATAGGAGGAAATCAGAGAATGCCGGATTCTTTAAAAAAATATGAAACTGCAGCGTGGAGAGACATACCGCGAAAGAGAAAGGGGAGAAATTATGATACAAATATGGAGAAGTACAATGTAGTTAACAATGTGTAGAAGTAGTAAGTAGTTCGGAGTAGTAACAATGTGTTAATATCATTTATTGAGTGCTAAAGTGTTTTTAAATATCATTGATCTATTTGTTGTCCTAATTGAAATAATATCTTCAAACCCAAATACGTATGCTTTAATAAGCAATTCAATAAAAAGTATGTTTTTATAAACAATATTAAGTACTATACCTAAAATTATTTTTCTTTATTCCCATTTTTAAGACGTTTTTATTTTTTTTTCAAGGTCACTGAGATCCGACCGTCTATATCTTCTATTTTTCTCACTGATTATACGTATAAACGAGGAAATTAAAAAGAAGTCCCATCAAAATCAGTGATGAGACACCTTTCTTACAAATTGATCATTTTATGAACTGATGCAGATGCTGGATTGTTGGATATGTATCCAATATCCATTTACAAATCTAAGTAATGGGGTATACAATATTCTAATGGCCCAATCTTCTAAGTCAATGCAATTTCGATTTACTTAGCATATCTAATCTGTAAGTTGGCTGCAAATTAATACTTAGTAAAAAATTAGTATACCATGTGTATGAATAGTTCGCCATAACCATATGAGTGTTAAGGATGGTCCCATTGAATACTGAGATTTAGTAATACTGTGGATGATTGTATTTTTAAATACTTTTGTGACCTTTGCAAAATATACACTTGTACTAAAATATCTTGCAACTTTTGCATTTTTAGAATCGTTTAAAATTTTATCAATATAATCATGATAGTTGTAACAATCATAATAGTTAATCACATTTCTCTATGGATTGGTCCTTGTATCACATTATTTCATATAAAAAAGTATTAAGTTGCTTATGCCAAACGAGATGCATTAACCAACGCATAGAGAAATGTGATTATTTTAAAAAAACTTGGAATTAAAAAACTCTACGTGTCCACGCGCAAAGAAACTAATAACTTCATGTCGTGTCCTTTTCGAGGCCATGCAACTCTTGTTTTATAATATCGTATATCTTTTATAATAATGTAAAATTATGAAGCTAGTTGCTTCATTCTATTTATGGTTGGCTACTTCATGCGCTAAGGAATTCCCTGTTTCTGCATTAATATCACGTTATTTATTTCTTATCTGACTGCAAAATGTAAATATATTGTAAATAACGTCACCGCAAAAACCAATAGAACTTTAATATAATTTTTCAAGAGTACGATTAATTTATGACTCATGGTTCCTTTTGCAAAGTTGGTAATACGATGCAAACAGAAAATGTAACTTTTTGATCTTGAAATTCTAGGTCAAGATCAAAATCAATTTTGCGGCAGTTTTTTTACATTAATCTCCACCAAACCAAGAGTGCAGGATCACATTGTGATGGTTCCGACACTTATTTTCCTTGCATCCTATACATTCAATTAAAGGCAATATAAGGTATATAAACATATATAAATCCTTTGACTATAACAATTATTTTTTCAATCTCTTAAATATTCGCTTTTTTCTCGATTTTATCGCGTTTCTGATTTCGATTAACGTTATCTCAGCATTACTAAATTCATTAGCCATTGTACTTATTTCTATACGTTTGCCTTGATTTTCTTGCACTTTCTTGCTTACATTCAAACATCAGTTTGTGGTCATCATGTAATTTTAGGTTTTAAAAATCTCCGAAAACGGTCGATTTGATAATCGTTGGGATCTTATATAATATTTGCACGCGCGTGCTGAATAACGAATGACACTTTCTCGAAAGATCAATCTTACTAACAAGATACAAAAGCAATACATTAGTTCACCGTAAAGTCGGTGTGACGCAACGTAGACGGATTGAAATGAGAACTATTTGAAAATTATATTAAAAAAAAACCTTTTGATATTTTATTTACAGTAACTGCCGAAAGTATTCGAATACTCGCCATAGAATTTTTTAATGAATATATTATGTGCATTACATGAAATTTTTTGAACCAACAACACACATCATGATTATAATAATAAGAGGAATTGGTTCGAAAAAGTTTATAGAAGTTATTAGACATTCGTTGCGAACATATATTTTATGTAAAATTAGTATATAGTGTGAGTAGTCGTCTTAAACATAAAATTAGTGATAAAGATGGTCTCATTACATGTGGCTTATTGATATAACAAATAATTGACTGTTCAAATATTTTGGTGATCTTTGCGAAATATATAATTTACTCCTAATAAATATCTTGTAACTTCTATATACATTTTCAGATTCGTTTCAAATACCAATGTAATCACCATAATCGCGTTGCGTTATAGTGTTAATAAAATTTTAAAATACTTTGTATAACATACAAGGTGTCCCAAATTTAAACAATTGAACTTGATCAGTATGTTCTGTGAATGTAAATGAGAAAAAACGTCATATAAACATAGGACGGCAAATGCTTTCGGAAAAAGTTATAACAAAAATATTGATTGGTCGGGGAGGACACATTTGGACCGCCAGGTTGTTGGGATCGCCAGATCTTAAATTAATAGACTTTTATCAGTGAGGAATAGTGAAAGTGATTGTGTATAGTATAAAAGTCAAATCGCAGAAGAAAAGACAAGAACTAAAAGTAGAAAGGATTAATGATGCATTTACTGAACTAAAGCAAGATAAACATGAAATCGGAGAGTAATAAAATTCAATTTCCCTACGATATCAAGCTGGTATTCGAAACGGGAGACGGCATTTTGAGATGAAAACATAAATTAATTTTTTCACTGTAATAAAACGTAATAATAAAGTGTTTGCGAATCTGTCTATATAACATTTTTTCTTATTTCTGCTCATAGAACGCTGCGGAAATTTGATTATTGAAACTTGGGGCACCCTCTATACGCTACCATATAAAAATATTTGAATATTTGGTGCAATTCAACCAAAACATTGAAATTTTTATTATATTTTCAACATTATGATGGAAGATTGCTTCTCTACTTGCTAATTTTTTACTTCTTGTCATAACTCGGATCAAATGTTTTGTTACATTGAAGTTTTGTTGAATTGATTGAAAATCCATATTTATTTCTAACAAATAACTAATACCTCGGAAAATCTATATAAACTTCTAGAATATGGTTGGAAATACATCTCAATTAATTTTGCCATAATTCAATCTCTAGCCATTGTTAATGTTTCATTTTATTTACATTAATAAATATTAACTATAGTTTTTATCAATAAGATCAGAGGCAAAAATTAGATTAAAGGCCTTTATTTACAGTATATCCTATATATTTGCAATACATAATTTGGAAATGTTTAAATATTCATGCACGGTAGCGTTCATAAAATGTTTTTAGGAGTAGTTTTAGTAGGAATAATTTCATGAGTCACATGTATAAAAACTTGAATATTCTAAGGTATTCTTATTTTGATAATATATGGTAAACGTGTACGTTGACCCAATTGGCGAATCAACCGTGGTTTTAGTCCCTTGGATGGTTCGCTTAGACCACAAGCACTCGTCCACCAAGTTGTCGCAATAGTTAACAAGGTGGGGATGCGGGTCAGGCTCAAGGAGGAATTTCATGATTGTCGATGCATCGAAGTGCTGAGCTGTGGGTTTATGATACTGCTATTCAATGTTCAGAAACGGGCATGTAGCAATTCATCTGGTCCGTAGATATAGGATTCGGCAGCAATAAAATAATTTCTTGCTTCTTGTTCCTGATTTCGACGAGCAAAAGATTAAATCATAAAGTTTCTAAAGCATCTCAAAAGTAGTATATCATGCGCCCATGCTGTAAACGTAAATCTAGTAGCTTCACTGTAAAAACTAAACATAACTTTTCAAATTTACATTCAAAGAAGTTTAATACAAAGGAAAGAAGAAAAGATTAAGACACAATCATGAGGACATGTTCATACATCAGACTTATGTGATATATGTACATATCCTTCTTTGACTATTGTTTTGACTTCTATTTGGCATATTTCATATGACAATTATTAAAAGGAAAAAGATGAGTCTAAACCGAACAAAATAATGGGAAGTGACAAAAATTATAAACTAACGAAGTAAAAAAATTACAAGTTATTTATAATCCAATTATTTATTGCTCTGTAACTAACAATAAAGTCTCCAGACCGTTTGTAATTTATCATCTTTTCCTATAATTTTATAGACATTTGTTAGAACTTTGAATAGGGTAAAAAGGCTCATGTATTTTGCATTTCATTCCGTTTCGCTTTTCTTTATGCAATTTATTGAATTTCCTGTTTAGTTACATTTTCTTCCAGCCATTTCGCCGTTACGTCTTTTCCTTGTCCCATTTTGTTTCTTTGCACGTAACAATTTTCGGTCCTTATTTTAGTGCAGCGTAGAAGGTAAAAAGTTCGTAGAATTTGTTCAATGTTAACATTAATTTGGTTAGGTTGTTCATTTTGCGGTTTTATTATTTCAACATCGACGAGATTTAGTTACGGTCGTTAGATAGTGCTCAGCCATTGATTCCCAGAAGATAGAAATTCAGCAATGAAATATATACTGGAAATGGGAATGGAAGATCATAGAATTGGTATTAAATTTACAACTTTCGATGATAGCAATAATTTGATGTTAGTTCAGAACCAGTTTATTGCAGTATAGCAGTATATCTAGAAGGAATTGTTTTTTTGTAAAGGAAAATATCAGGAACCCATTGCTTGGAACGAATTAGATCAAGGCGGGTTAACGATAATGTATTGGCAATAAACCACTACATTTCGTCAATATGTGACAAGTTTTTTCACTCCGTCAGCGAAGAACTCTACTGATAAAATGCTTCGCAGCTATCTTGACTTCATCCTCCATATTAAAATAAATACCTTTCAAGGCTTTCTTTAATTTAGGGAAAAGTTGGAAATTCGATGAATTTTCGGTAGCGCAGTGTTTTACGCTGTTAAAAATTCGATTGTTGCACATCGCTTGAATGTCGTTCATATTACATTCATATTCAACTTCGTTTTATACTCCTTGCCATTGTGTCAAGTAAATTTATTGACAATTGGGATTATTATAATGGAGCGATGTAGCTACGAGCTAGGTGCACCCGTACCGTTATAGCTGTTTTCGTTCTTGAGATACAAGCGAGTATGCATTGTTTATCACTCCTCTTTATCTCATGACTCCTACTATCGGGATTCCCAAAAATTTCAAGAATGCAAACAACGTTTCGAAATTAGTTTTGTTGAATATGTCCATGTTATGGAATGGACAAATACTATATTGACATTTGCAATCAATGATTTCACTTCTCATGAGCAGTCATTTATCACTTACAATTTACTAGATGACAAAAGACTTTCACATGCGACATTGTACGTTTAATTTGATTCGTTTACGCAAATCCTATACTGCCTAAAACTATTATAAACACTTGTGTGATAAATTAAAAGTAATCTTTTCATGTTATTTTAATATCAACGTAAAAAAAAGTTATTTTACCAAAGGAGTTTCGACTATTGTAGTAATATTGTAGTAAAATAGTGTACTAATACAACAAGGATGAATACGTATCCTAAATTAGTCTCGAAAAGCGACTCAGGTTTTTGAAATTCTTGGAAATTTCTCGACTTTCGAGATACTTTCAGGAACCAGACTCTCGATCCCTAAAAATTTTTCGATCCGACCTAATTCGTCATTTTCTAATTCTCGAACACCTCTAATCTATTGGTTTCAAAATTCTCTATTATCTGTGATCATAGGAATCTCATATTACAATTGACCGATCAACAGTTAAAGCTACTTTACTAATCTCTCTTTCCTACTTTTTTATTATAACTGCTTCCACAGACTTTATTTCTGTTCGATTAAATAGTAAATATCTCTATTGGGATTAAAGGTAAAAAGAAATGTCCAAAACAAAAGTTGAACTGTTCACGCTGGTAAATAGAGTGGTATAAATACACTTTTTTAATGCATGTTTCTTTTAAATTACATATAATTTTTATCGCAGTGTTATAGCTGATGTCAAGATGAGTTGAACCATATATGTTACGACCTTGTGAAATGATACACCTTGGATTCATGAATTTAGATTCGGTTACATCTTCAAGATTGTGAGTTTTTGTAGCAATGCAAAGAAATCAATTATTGATAGAAAAAAGGAAGTAATCGAGCAAAATTGAACCAATGAGCTAATTGCTATTTCGGTTTATTGTACTTAATATAACGGTTTAGAAATTTTTCCTTCAGAAATCCTGTCCTGTCTGCCAGAAATATGTTGGAAAACTGTCATACTGACATTACATCACTTAATGGATATTTAAAAGAAAGTTCTCTTAATGTTTCAACAAAATGTCTTGTGTAAATGTCACGTACAGTGAAACTTTGCGCATTTGAATATCCTAACATTTGAACGTTCTGTTATGCGAATATTCTGATATCTAAACAGTGTGTCTATTAGTAACAAATGTTTTTTTCTGTTACAAATACTATTATTACATATATACTATTATCATTACTATTATAAATATGTAGTATTTGTTTTGTAGCTAAGGTGAAAGACTAAACGGATTTAATTCCGTATCGTTATATCGGAGGGTCCTTGTTACAATACCATTATTATTATATCTATAAAGAATAAATGAATGATGATGATGAGGGTCACGTCGAATGTAGTTTAGCGGTTAAAAAGATATGGGGTCCTTAGACATCAAAATAAACTGACAATCTCCTTCATCCCTTTTCTTGATTATAAAAAGTGGTTGTTTTTTTATTCGGAGGTTCATAAAAGAACAATATTAACAATAATCACTAGTACTTTATAGAATCTTCAATTTCTTTCACACCTACTAATCAAAGACGTGTTATGCATTTGATATTTTCGAGATGTAATTTAGAAATGATATGTATAAGTGCTTATATACTTGGTACGTATTATCATATAATATTATCATATCAATGCATATGAATATGAACGGGCAAGTCTTGCACGTGCCGTGCAATCACTTCAGATAGGTCAAGATAGACTAAAGTTTATTGAAAATTTATAGTATTACGTTACAGTCTTTTAAACATAATTTTAAGAATTTATGTCATAGGTGCTATTCATATAGGCACACGAAAAGAAAAACTACCGTTTTTAGTTTCTTTCCCGAGGTTCTTCCGTTAAGTCCGTTTAATGCGATGCCTGAGGCAATTTAGAATCCCTAATGCCTGTGTAAATAGAACTAACATTATTGGTTCGTTTTGGTTATTGTTACGTCGCGTAACACTCTACCTAGCCCAGGTCACACACCGCGGGCAAGATGGCAACCAGATGTCTTCGGATATTCACTGCGTACCCTCAATAGTCTCAAGTATCTTCCATAAATCTCAGGAATTTCCTAGTAAAGTTCCTTCAAACCAAACAAACGTCTGTTTCCGAAGAATTTCTAAAAACTATTGTCTACCACGGCTTGACAAGGGAAAGTTAGTTTTTCTCACGTATGATGCAACTTTCCTCCCACTAACCACTTTCTCTTGAGGGCGGTTAAGACCCTTCGTTTAACCAATTAACAATGAAGCCTATTTCCCTCACTCTCTTAACTAAAATCGTCACCAACAAATGGTCCCGTGCGCTAGACACACCCATCCTTAGCTTTCTTCCGACACAGCATCGTCTCTCAAGACAGTACTGATTTTACATCCTTCGAACGGTCAACATTCTTCGACCGGGTATACACACCCGTAGATCAGTCACTCACTCATCTCGTACATACGCACCAGCGTAACTGCCTTCGTTACAAGTTGTTGGGATAAACGGTGAAATATAACTTACTCTACTGTGTCATATTCATTTAACCACCTCTGTTATCTTAACCGAAACAGGGGAACGACTACTTCGCGGCGTCGATTCACCGAATCGTAGCGAGAATTTACGCCTCTCGCTGACGCGTTTTCCTCGCGACCGCGTCTCTCCGCAAACGGTCGTAACAGTTATTGTCACGCAGGAGAAGATCTCAAAAACCTGTTTGCATGAGTTACGTAGACTGGATTAGAGTTTTTGGAAACCATGGGATGTTGCTCTTCTATTTGATGGGGATTTCGTAATTCAGTTTATTAGTGAGTTTTCATGTGGTCAGTTTAGTGTCCTTTGTGTAAGATCTTTGATGTGCATAGTGAGATTGGGTACGCCAGATTTTTCATGTAGTTTGCGTGAGCTATAGTCTCTTGGTTTGTTCAGGATTATCCTTAGGAATCTATCCTGGATTTTTTACTGAACTACAGACCTATGTTTCATATGCCACGACGGATCTTGTACGTATTTTGTATAGGAGTATTTTGTG